TGAGACATTTTGGACATCATGTTTTATTTAGGGTCATTCACGTTATTATGATTTTTTGATATTTTCTTATTTTTGGGTCCTTTTGCGATTTTAGCTTTTAAGGGGCCATGAGGGAGACTTTTTGCATATATATGTTAGGGGGGGGGGGGGGGGGGATCTAGGGGTGCACACGGTTCTGTTCCGGAACTGGAATCGGTCACAATGGTTCCTTAAAAGTGGAATTGGAACCGTGTGTGTTTGGAACCGAACCGTGAGAACCAATTCGGTTCGGTTCCACGATTCCCCACCTATGAATTTTTTTCCTGTTGTTCCCTTGTGTTCCCTTACTTATTTGAAGGCTTTGAGCCCATAGCTAAAACAATTAAACAGAGTTACAGAATACAATAGCAAAAATAAAAATATAAATAAATACAGAAAATAAAACTTTTTTTTTTTTTTTTTTTTTTTTTTTTTTTTTTTTCTGGTGTGTGGGTGTAGATCGGAGAAGCCGTGCGACCGTGTCGCTGACTTCTGAATCTTTTGATCGGAAAAGTTATGTCACAGTGTCGCACTATCGCTAACTGGAAAGATGAGGACTGAAGATGAAAGGACTGATGAGTGCTGAGGATTGAAGATGAGAGGATAAGAGGAGTAGAGGCCTGATGAATGATGAGGAGTTGAGGACTGAGGAGAGGAGGCGAGGGTGAGATGGCTTCAAAGAATCAAATATTATATGAGAGTTGAGATAAGGAGGGGAGGTTAGGTTTAGGTTTAAATAAAAGAGAGTTGAGTTTTTGTGGTTTAGTGGTGGACCACGTGTTAATTACTGCTATATGGTATCATTGGTAATTTGGTATGACTAACAATTAGTAAGTATGTAATTAATAATATATATAATTAAATATAAATCACATATATATATATATATATATATATATACAGTTCCGGTTCCTAATGGTTCCTAGGGGTCTGTAACAGGAACTAGAACCGTAAGCCCACGGTTCCTATTTTTAGAACTAGGATTAGGACCAGAACCATGAGAACCGGAACCGAAGCCACGGTTTGGGTCGGTTCCGCGGTTTTTTTGTGCACCCTTAAAGGGATCTGCAGAAAGGGGGTCGGAACCCCCTTTTCCTTTTTTTTTTTTTTGTTGTTCTTAAGTTCAAGGCCGGTATCATTTAGCATCATTGTGATTCGTGTGTCGCCATAAAAGAGTTTTACGTCGGGACACCAAGGGCGAACAAAACCCTTGGTTTTGTTTTCGATTATGGGTATTTTGGTTTTTAGGGGCTGAGTTCGGATTTGGATTTGAAGGCGGCTATATGAGGCATTGTGGTTTCCTTCACTTTTCTTGTCGCACCATCAAAGTTGTAACTCATTTGAAGCATTTTTCTTTTGGAGGTTTTAGGATTTTCATCCCAAATGAGGTAGGGACATGTTGCATATGTAAAGCTACACCTTATTTACGTTTTGTGAGATATAACGGGTTATACATGCATATGAGTAAGTGTGTATATACTTAGAATTTAATGCTTAAGGTTAGAAATGAGTAAGTGTGGAAGTATAATGATATTGTTGTCATTTCCATGCTTAATATGTTTATTGGATTCAATAATGCGATATTAATTGATAGCCATGGCATTTACTTGATTTCGGAAGGCACCAACGTTGATATACATTGTGATACTTCTCGATTCTAGAGCCACGAGTGATCAAGTTCGAGCACATATCCGAGGGATACAAAATAATTAAATATATAAACAAGCATAAAATACAAAAAGAATTTAAAGAAATAAATAATTAAGCTGAAAGGAATCTAAAATATAATCCTTGAATTACTAATTAAATAATTCAATACCAAAACCTCAAATATTATTACAACTCGGGAATCCATCTAGTGGACCCCTAATAATATCCCAGCTGGAAAAATAAATAACTAAACTAAAAATGAAAACCAAAACTAAAATATAAGTAATAGTCCTATGTAGTTGGAGGCAATGTTATTAAAAGCGCACCTGGGCGAGCGCCTAGGCGCACCTTATGCGCCTCATGCTAGCCCAGGCGCAGCGACCTTCACTAGGCGCGCGCCTGGGCTACGCCTTGGATATTTTAAGAGGCGTGCTTAGGCGCGCTTCATATATTCTATGCTCCTTCATATATTTGTTTGATGTATTATGTGTACTTTGTGTTTGCTTGTTTACTTTATATTATTATATATAAATAGTTACAGCTTTTGGAAACTGAAAGAGTACAAAATGGAAACTTAAAGTACAAAAAGAAAAGTTGTCTTCTTGTGACTTGGCAACCCAATGTCTCCCAATAGTCAACAAAACAAATCAGTCAAGAGCAAAGGCTGTAGCAGAAATAAAGACGTGTGGGAGTGGGAAAGAGAAAAAGAAGAGAGAAAAAAAGAGAAGAGAAGAGAAGAGGAGAGGGCTACCAGTCCGTCCGACCAGGAATCACCGAATCAAATTAACAGGTCAGTTTTTTATTTTTTTATTTTTTCCCTCTTCTCTTTCTCTCTTCATTTGCTCTATTCTCTATATCTCACCTTTTTTTTTTTTTTTCATTCTCTTTTTTTTTTTCTTCTTCTTCTTCTTCTTCTTCTCTATTTCTCTGATTTTTTTCTTTTTTTTTCTGGGTTTCTATCAAATTAACAGGTCAATTTTGTTTTTTTTTTTTTTTTTCTTTCTCTAGTTCTCCTCTTCTCTCTCTCTCTCTCTCTTCATTTGCTCTAATCTTTATATCTCACCCTTTTTTTTTTTTCTTCTTCTTCTCTATTTCTTTGATTTTCTTCTTTCTTTTTCTGGGTCTTTAGTAGACTGGTATATTTTTTTTTCAGGTCTCTTATTTTTTTTCTTCTATCTTTTTCTCTGCCTTTGTGTTTTTTTTTTTTTTTTTTCTTCTTTCTTTTTCTCCGTCTCTGTTTCTGTTCTTCCGGGTCTCTTTTTTTCTTCCTCCTCTCTATATATCTGGTTTTTTTTTTTTTTTTCTTCTATCTTTTTCTCCATCTCTGTTTTTGTTCTTGTGGGTCTCTGTTTTTTTTTTTTTTCTTCTTTCTTTTTCTTCATCTACTCCTCTCCTGTGTCTTGCTATATATATATATATATATATATATATATATTTTTTTTTTTGTTCTCTCTGGCTTGTATTTTTTTTTCATGTTTTATTTTTTTCCATCATTTTCAACTTCTTGGTGTATAGCTGTAGTATTTGTACGCTCTTCATCATCATCAGTCTTCAGCAAATATAGTTTGTGGTGCTATATTACCCGTAGGAGAATCAGTACACCACCTTACCCTTTAATAAAGAAATACCGAACAGAATAAGACTTTGTAAAATTATTATTTTTTTGTTGTCTGTTGCATCTTAATTGTTGTAAAATTTTAGATTCTGTTTTTGTTCTCTCTAGCCTTCATTTTTTTTCCCTTCATCTACTCCATCGTATTTTTTTTTTTTTTTTCAATCTCTGACTTTTTCTTCCAACAATCTCTCTCTCTCATTTTTTTCTCCTTTCTTCTTTGAAGGCTGTCTGTCTCTTTCTTTTTTTCTTTTTTTTTTTTTTTGTGTTCTGCTGAATTTTGCTACATGGATTATTTAAATTTTGAATGCATATTTCTGAATGGTGTTTGCTGAAAGTGTGAATGTTGTTTGCTGAATTTAACTTGGTCCATCACTCCATTGACTCCATTCTATTTCTCATTGTAAATACAAAATAGATAGGAAAAAATGTCAAAGGATTCAGCTTGGAATTATTGTCACCTGTAAAACCCACAAGATAGGAATGCAACAACATGTAATTTTTGTGAAAAAGTTATGAAAGGGGGTATTTACAGGGCTAAGCAACACATTGTAGGAGGACATAGAAATGTACAAGCATATAAAAAGTGCCCTGAACATGTGAAAGAGGAGATTAGAGAATACATGAGCAAGAAGAAAGAAGAAAAGGAATACACAAAATTGTTGCCTGATTTTGAAGACATGGATGATTAAGATGAGGATGATGTTGCAATTATTGATGTTAAGGGTAAAAGAGTGGCAAGTGGAACTGGAAGCAATAATATTCAATCAAAAAAGCAGAAGCAGATAGGTCCTATTGATTTGTACTTCACCCCTCCTCTGGAAGTGGCTGTGCAAAATAGAAAAAATGACAAGGGTAAGCAAACAACAATTAACAGTGCTTGCAAGAAAGAACTTAGAAACCGAGCATGCCAACGGTTTGCAAGATGGATGTATGATGCCAGGATATCATTCAATGCCCTTAATTATGATAGTTTTGCACCAGTTGTTAAAGCTATTGGCCAACATGGTCCAAGAATGAAACCTCCGTCTTATCATGAGGTGAAAGTTCCCCTCCTCAAGAAAGAACTGGAGCATACAGACAATTTAATGCGGGATCATAAGGAGGAATAGGCAAAATACAGATGCACAATTATGGCAGATGGATGGGAGGATAAAAGATAGAGGTGTTTGATTAATTTTCTGGTGAATTGTCCTAAAGGGACAATGTTCATTCAATCTATCGATGCTTCCTTTTATTCAAAGACCGGTGAAAAAATGTTCGACTTGCTTAACAAGTTCGTGCAGCAAATTGGAGCAACAAATGTGGTTCAAGTAGTCACTGATAGTGTATCTTCTAATGTTGTGGCAGGTATAGATGTCAATATGTACTTGATGTGAAAATTTTAGGTTTATTGCTTCTAGCCTTCTATTAATCCAAATTTTCTTTCTTTACAATAGGGAAAATGTTGGAGGGAAGGCACCGACATTTGTATTGGTCACCTTGTGCTGCAAATTGTGTGGACCTGATGTTGGAGGACATTGCTAAGATCCCAAATATAATGATGACCATAAAGAGAGCTATAATGTTAAATAGTTATATTTATAACCGCTCGGGTTTGTTAAATATGATGAGGCGTTATACTGGACATAAAGAGTTGCTTAGACCTGTAATGACTCGATTTGCCACTTCATTTATCACGTTATCAAGCATCCATCGTTAAAAGGATTGCTTGAGGAAGATGTTCACTTCACAAGAATGGACTTCCAGTAAATGGGCGAAAGAGATACAAGGGAAAAATGTAGCACATATTGTGTTGATGCTTTCATTTTGGACAAACATTGTGTACTCTCTCAAAGTAGCAAGCCCTCTTATTCGTGTACTTAAGTTGGTTGATGGTGAGAAAAGGCCTCCAATGGGATATATTTATGAGGCTATGGAAAGGGCTAAAGAAGCGATAGCTAAAGCTTTTGGTGGGAATGAGGAGAAGTATAAGGACATCTTTGAGATCATTGATAGAAGGTGGAATATCTAACTCCATCGCCCTTTGCATGTAGCTGGGCATTTCTTAAACCCAGAATATTTTTATAGTAATCCAAATATTGAGCAAGATGAAGAGGTGATGGGTGGTTTATATCAATGCATAGAAAGATTGGTTCCAACCACTGAAGTGCAAGATAAAATTTCTTTGGAGTTGAGTAGATACATGAAAGCTGATGGTCTATTTGGCTCATTAATTGCTGTTGACAAAGAAAGTCAAGGGCACCAGGTAAACAACTCAATTAATTATTTTTTAGTATATTTGAATTTTAATTTTGTTAATTTTTTACTAATAATATGTAAATAACAGCCGATTGGTGGTCCGCATATGGTTCTACAACTCCTAATTTGCAAAAATTTGCTATTAAAGTGCTTAGCCTCACATGTAGTGCATCTGGGTGTGAACGAAATTGGAGTGTATTTGAACATGTAAGTTTGTAGTATTAGTAATTCAGTGATAAAAAATTATATTATAAATAGTTATACACTTATACTTATTAATTATTTGAATTAATGCAGCTTCATAGCAAGAAGAGGAACCGACTAACTCAATGTCGATTGAATGATTTGGTTTTCATCAAGTATAATAGAGCACTAAAACGACGATATGATATGCGTGATAGGATCGATCCCATCCTTTTAAATGATATAGATGATAGCAATGAGTGGTTGGTTGGAATAATGGATGAAGATGTAGATGCCGAAAATGAGTTGGTGTTTGAAGATGACTGTTGGACATGGGGTGCAGTTGCTAGAGCTACCGGGGCTGGATTGTCCAGCCATAATTTAATATCAAGATCAGCTCCAAGGGCAACAAAGAGGACAACACCTTCATGCTTGTCTTCACTACGAATTATAGATGATGGCGAGGCAAACTCTGAGGACACAGAAGAGGAAGAAGATGCTGAGGGTTACAAATCTTTTGATGGGGACGATGATGAGACTATGTTGTTTGGTGAAGAGGATGATATTTAGGTCCCTTAAGATTGTTTGGTTACTTTGGTTTTAGGAGTCCTTGTTAAAACTCAAAATTGAAACTGATATTTTGTTGCTTGGTTTATAGATTTGGTAGGCTATTAAGTATTGACTATGATACTTTATAGATTTGGTAGGCTATTAAGTATCTTTTGATGGATCTGTTTCGGAGACAATTGATAGCTTTTGCTTAAGACATCAAGTATAAATTTATAATATATGGTTAATTGGTTTATGTTTTGCTTTTTTTGAATCTTTCTTATGAATAAATAGCTTTATTAGTTTAATTGTTCTATTTTTCTAGTTGCTTTATTGGTTTAATTGTGATATATTTAGACTAATTTAGTGTTTTTATTATTGGATGTTCATTGTTTAATTGTGTTATTTTTGTTATGAATTATTGTTTTAAAATTTTACTTGTGCGCCTCACATCACTTAGGCTCGCGCCTAGGCTCCAAGGGACCTTTAGCGCCTCGGTGCGTCTTGGGCTTTTAATAACTATGGTCGGAGGAGTGAGTGACTGTCTCTGCTCAGCACGATCAAGCTCTATGACTGGAACTGTCGAACGCCTGAGAAAAATAATAGTGGGTCAGGCTCACGAGCAAGTTCTACTCTACTACAATCTAAATAGAGACCCGATACGCATGTACATCCTAAACAACTCAACAATAACTATATAGTCCATATATATATATATCCACACTAAAGGACTCACTGGACTACAAGGCGGTCTCAACCTGACTAGTAGGCATCATGCAAAACGCACTGGAAGTGGGCATGAATATCTAGACCTAACAGGGTACACCACTAACCATTATAGCCAGCTATGCATCCCAATGCATATACGCTCCCTAACCGTCGATCTTGATGCTCAAGCTCATATCGTGGTATCATAATTATATATATATATAAATCCTTCCGAATCCAAAGTAATGTCATTCAATTGTTCGTTGACCTGACACAAAATATATAAGTAGGACTTAACTTATCTAGTTAATCCATTCCCTTATTCCTGAATAGGTAGGACTTAGTATTTTGAACTAATCCATCCATAGTATGCTACCGTCCATTACCGGTGCATACAATCCACAAAACAGTCCAATAATTGATAAATTAAATAATAATAAAGTTAAACATCAATTAATCCCCAATAAGCATAATAAAAATATGTAAACTAACATGATCATATTATGCCACTGATACATGATTAAAACTATATAATCATTCACAGAAAATTGCTAAAGTAAACGTAAGCAATTTAAATCATCCACATCCAGTAACAACATGCAAATTTGTTTTAAAACCCCATATTGTTCAAATTCCTAGTATTATAAACTTTATTATGCATTCTAGGATTTTAACTTATCCTCAGAAATTATTCAAATCCCCCATAGAAGTTCCCAAATAATTCTAGAACCCCAAAAACCCAAGCATTGTGGCCAAAAAGCGTAAAAAATGACCACACAGGAGGGGAGCCGCCTCTCCCAATGAGGGAGCCGCCTCCCCACAGTGTAGAACCGCCTCCCCACAAGGGGGAGTTGCCTTTTTGTAAAAGGAGCCTGCTCCCTTAAAAAGGGAGCCTGTTCTATCGTTGTTTTCATCACCTGCTGCACCTCCGGCAACTTCCAGTCCCTCTGCCCTCCATTGCTAAGGTTCCTAGGTGTCTGAACTAAGTCCCAGAGTATTCCAGAAACATATTTAAATCCATTATGCATTGTTACCATCAATTAAAACTAATATTTGTGCAAGAAAATTCAAGATCAAGCAATAATAATTTCATTAACATACATACTGTTTTAATCAAATTCAACATGCATAAAAGTTCAATTTAATATTTAATTACTCCTGAAATTGTTTAAGCATGTAAAGAACACGAAGCGTAAGGGAGAGAGTTAGATATAGAACTTGCCTGTGAGATTTTGAATTAAAATCTCAACGCCGTCTTCCTAGATGTTTCTAGCGAGTTTTGATTACCGTCAAGCCTCCTCCTCCTCTGGTTCTAACCCACAAGCTGTGATACACCTCGATTCTAGAGCCACGGGTGATCAAGTCCGAGCACAGATCCGAGGGATACCAAACAATTAATATTTAAATAAATACATAATACAAAAGAATTAAGAAATAAATAATCAAGGCTGAAAGAATTCTAAATAATAAATCCTCAAAATTAAATAATTATAATAATTCGACAATCCGAAACCTCCAAGATAACTCGGGAATCCATCTAGTGGACCCCTAAATAAAAATCCTAATTGGAAATAACTGAACTAACGAAGAAATCCAAAATTAAAAATAAATAGCAGGCCTACGTAGTCGGAAGAATGAGTGACCGTCTCTGCTCAGCACGAACAAGCTCTAAGACTGGAACCGTTCGATACCTGAAAAAAATAATAGTGGGTTAGGCCCATGAACAAGTTCTATTTTAACTACAGTCCAAATAGAGACCCGATACGCAAATATATCCAAGATATCTCAACAGTATCTATCTAGTCCATACATATATATATTCACACTAAGGGACTTTTACTGAACCATAAAGGGGGTCTTAACCTGAATAGAAGGTAACATGCAAAACGCACCTGAAGTGGGTATAAGTACCTAGAGTTAACAGGGTACACCACTAACTATCATAGCCAGCTATGCATCCCAATACATATACGCTCCCTAACCATAGATCATGAGACTCGAGCTTATGTCGTGGTACCATAAATATATATTTAAAATCCGTCCACAACCAAAGTAGTGCTGCTCAACTATTGGTTGCCTTGACACGACATAAAAATAGGAGTTAACCTTATAGTTAATCCATCCTAATCCAGAACATAAAATAAACATCCATCCAATTTGTCATCTGATGAGCACTGAAAAGTGCGTATTTAAACCCCTTAAGCTTAGGCATTCTAGTACCTTTATCTATCTTACTTTACCGTTTTAGATTGATTTTGTATTATTTCCATTTTCAGGCGCTTATCCTGAAAATAAGCTAACTCAGCCAAATAAGAGCTTAATTGAAGCAATTCTGAGATTGAACGAAGGAAGGAGCAAAGTGAAGAAAGAAAGAAGTAAATGAAGTCAAAGGTGGAAAGCAGCAAAGTTCGATCGATCCAAGTTCAAGGTTCGATCGATCGAACATTGATCGATCTCAGCACTTCAAGATAGATCCAAGCCTTGACCCAAAACACTTAAGTCCAAAAGTTCGATAGATCCAACATCATTCTTTGATCGATCGAACACCTTTGTCCTTATCCAAATGATTGATCCTATCCATAGCTGTACCACCCACCAACCATTTTTGTCCTTTTCCCATAAATATCTCCCACAAATATCTCGGATTTGTCTTTTTCCAAAAAGCTCAGCCAGTTGGATCGATCCAGCTTAAGTTCGATCGATCTCACTTCCTTCAGTGCGAAAAAGTTAAAATTCCATCGCATTGAAAGTTGTCCTTTATCCAATCATTAGGGAATATTGTGTGCACGACCCCAACTCATTTTGGGTGTCATTTTGACCTACCTATATAAGGATAAGGATTACTTTTTTAAAGGGGAGCTAACATTATTTTTGATATCATCTCTTGGAGAGGAAGTTTAGAGGAGGAAGAAGGCTAGAGACACCATTAGAGATCTTTATCAACAAGGAAAAAACCTCTTCCATAGAGTTAGCCCTTGAGGGTTGGAGCATCATCACTATGAGTGGCTAGACATCCTCTTGGGGCTAGAGTTAGCCCCAAGCATGCTTTCTATATCTTAATCTTGTGTATTATTGAGGGATTAGTGTTATAATTAATGTTTTGACACTTTGATATATATAGATCTTGTTTAATCAATGATTTATGTGGTTTAATGCTTCCAATTGATCATTTCATTTTATCCATATGTCTATGTATGTTAGAATAGATGTTCATGTGCTTATTTCTAGATTTTATGTTGTTGATGCATGTCTATGTGTATTGATGCCATAAATTTAGAGGTTGTCAAAACATAATGCTTAAAGGAATGTTCTTGTGATTCTCTAGATGGTTCATGCTCATACCTTGATGGATTATGTTTCCTTCTTAGCTAAATTAGTTTAATTTCAATGGCTTAATTGTAGTTTAGTGATAGTATAATATTAGATAGGAAGACAATCCATGCTAGTTGTTTGATGCTCCATACTTTTGAATGCAAGTAGCATATCTCTCTTATCTTGTGTTGTATTTGGATTGTGAGCCTAATGAAAAGGACCAATGATTTGATAGATATGTTGTGCTTTTCACATGCTATTTAGACAATATATACTTAATTGCTAGATATATTGTGCTTTTCACATGTTGGTTAAACAATGTATACTTAATTAGTCATCCTTACTTGTTGAATCAACCAAATACACACACACCAATATTGCAACATCCTAATTGCCCTCATTAATCACTTGTCAATGATATAGAAATGCATTGCTTGGTGGTGATCTCTAAACCCCAAGACTCTTATCTCTCTCTTATTTAATCTCCATTGCGTTCAATTACTTAGTTTAATTTTGTTGCTCTTTAATCAACCTACCAACCAATTGTTTGATCACTCGAACTACTAACCCTAATAGCGATTCCACAATCAACTCCGATTCCAATCCCTTGGGACGATCCCTATTCGCCCTAGCTATATTTTTAGTGAAGGTAGTAGTGGCTTTTACAAATGTAAAACTTGGCCCTCGCCCTAATGCACATTCTCAAACGTATGGTGCGGCGACACACCCAACAAGTTTTTGGCACCGTTGCCGGGGATTAGGCAACGTCGTAGTTGTGGAATCAATTAGGAATTAGTACTCTTTTGATCGTGTCTTTACTTGTTTCATTTTTCTTTTGGTTACTTATTGTGTTTATTCATATTTGACAAGGAACATTGAGCAAGAAAGCAAGCAAAGGAACATCCAAATAAAGAAGCTAAGCAAAGAAAGGAAAAATGCTAAAAATTTAAAAATTGCCAAGCTAAGCTTTAAATTTGGAGTTGAAGTGCTAAAGGACCTTT